CCCCAAGGCCCTCCCGCCCTCCAACCTTCCTCCTGCCCCCCTTACAGCCCAGCTCCCCGCCCCCCAAGGCCCTCCCGCCCTCCAACCTTCCTCCTGCCCCCCTTACAGCCCAGCTCCCCGCCCCCCAAGGCCCTCCCGCCCTCCAACCTTCCTCCTGCCCCCCTTAGAGCCCAGCTCCCCCCTGCCGTCCTGTGGCCCGTGGCTGGAAAGGGTTAAACATCCAGCCAAATAAATACCCCACAGAAGACAGGTGGGGAGATGATGTTTGTGTTTTTGTGTGTTTACATATGACAGTGTCATCAACAGTCCCTGTCTAGGCTGTATGCCGATATCACGTACATGAACTGTGAACCCGGGACAGCCCGGTATTCATCTCTCTTTGAAATGTACCCTGAGTGGTGGAGGAACAAGCAAATGGCCTTATATTCATTCCTGTAGCTAAGAACCAGTGATGGACCTGCTTCACAGTCATCCTCATGACCTTTTGTTCCCCGAGGAACTCCCAGCTTCTCAAAGAGGACATGACCTTGTATAGAAGATCCTGGCGTCCTGATCCTGTTCATCTCAGCTCTGCTTAGGCTTCATCAGGGGAAGTCTGAGTCACAAGCCGGAGGTCCCAGTTACGCTGGGACGCCCTCAATATGAGCTTTGGACATTGGACTATAACCTCTGAACTATTTCTAAGGGAATTCTCTGCAACTACAAAGCTCCCCCTCTCCACGGTGAATCTGCCCCTCAGTGGACTGAGCTCATGTTTGTGTGTATATTGATCTTGTAACCATACGTTCTCTCTCTTTTGTTTTTTTAATGAAGTTTAGTTTAGTTAATAAGAATTGGCTGTAGTGTGTATTTGGGTAAGATCTGGACTATGCATTAACCTGGGAGGTGATGTGTCTGAGTCTTTGGGATTGGTAGAACCTTTTCTTTTATATGATGAAATACGATTTACAGACATTTTCATCGTATTTGACGTGGGTACCTGGCTGGGGGCCTGAGGCTGGGTCACTTTAAGGGAACTACATTGTTTGGATGTCTGAGTAACCAGTGAGGTACTATAGAAGCTGTTTTGTGCTGGTTTGGTAAATCGAAGTATTGGAATATCCACCAGCTTCTGTGGGTTTGGCTGTCCCATCCTTTGCTGTTCACCCTAATTGAGTGACCATATCTGGCCCCCACAAGGACTCGAGTCACCCCCCAACTCCCCTCCTGCCCCCTTTACAGCCTAGCTCTCTCCTGCCCGCCCACCCAACCCCCCCACAGCCCAGCTCACCCCGCCTTGCTGCCCCCAACCCAGCCTTCCTGACCCCCATGGGAACAAGCCAACGACAACAAAAGAACCACTTCACGGTGGCAGGTGATTTCTGTATAAACCCGGCATTTCTATATAAAAACCAGAGATGGACAGACAGAACGACAACATGGCAGCGGGGGGGGGAATTCCATGCAACCCCCCCAGGCCGCTGTGCATAAGGCACCAAAAAGGAAGATCCACCCCCACCCCCCATCCCCAGCAGGGTGGAAAAGGGGTGTCAAAGTCCCTCCCCTCAATGTACCAAGCCCCTCCCGCTCAGAGCTCCCCAGGGTCATGAGCTGCATGCCTCATGGGGGGGCTGGGTTGTTTCATAGTCTCTTCCTCCTCCTCCTCCTCTTCCTGGGCTCCCTTGTCACCCTTCCTCCCTGTCCAGAGCTCGCTCAGACACCCTGTGGGGGCAGAGAGTAGTTAATCAGCCTGGGGCCTGCCCTCCTTGGCTGGAAAAGCAGCTGCCTCTGGGGTGGGGCAGCAGCCAACCCAACAGCAGGGGGAAGGGGATTAGGCAGAACAGAAAAATTGCCTGTCTGTTCAGAGAGCCCAGGGCTGGGCTGGCAGGGGCTGCGGGTCGGGAGTGAGGGGCACCGGCAGAGCTGGCGGGGTGGGGGTGGGGTTTAACACACCTTTCTCTCCAGGTGCCAGCACGTGCCCTTCGCACAGGAAGGCTGCCAGCGCTGTCTCCTGGTGGTGGAAGTACCAGTCCTCCAGCACGGCCTCGAATTGCTCCAGCATCGTCTCGCACTGCAGGGAGAGGGGAGAAGGTCAGAAGGGCCCAGTAACCCCGAACCCGCACAGCCCAGAGACCCCGGCCCCTGCGGCCCTCGGGTGGAAACCAGTCGCTTGCATGTCCCAGAGAGGCGCTGGGCTGGCCTGGAAGCCCCCAGGAGGAGACGCCCTCCAGCGCTGCAAAACCTGGGCCCCAAGGCGGATTCACCCAGGTTGGGAACGATCTGGGGTGTGGTCGGCCCCAAAGCGTGAGAGAGATGGGGGGCAGGGCGAGATCTCCCCACCTGGGATGCACCCGTGAGAAGCAGCCTCGTGAAGGCTGGTCATCCCCACCCACCATCGGTTCAGTAACGGACGTGGGTCCCCCAGCTTGTCTCGCTCGTTTCTCAAGGGAATTCGTCCGGCTTCGGCTTCCAGTTCTCGTCCTGATGCCGCGTGGAGCCCACTGCCCCCGCCCGATGCGTCACCCCACAAACTCGCCTGCTGCTTCAGCTGCGTCACCTCCACCGACGGCTCGTCCCAGAGCTCCAGGGGGATCCCCAGATCCACCTTCACCCCCTTGTTCACCAAGTTCTTCAGGGTGTTCATGGTCTGGCTCTGACCCTGTGGGGAGAGAGGAGAGCCCAGGAGTCCTGGGCTGCCAAATCCCTCCCTCCATTCAAACCCACCAAACCCCACTCTCCTCCCAGAGCCGGGGAGAGAACCCAGGAGTCCTGGCTCCCAGCCCCCCCTGCTCTAACCCACCAGCCCCCACTCCCCTCCCAGCGCCAGGAGAGAACCCAGGCGTCTGGGCTCCCAGCCGTACCTTGGCATACCGCAGGCTGCCCGGGCGCTCGGCGTGGACGCTGTAATGCAGGAATCGCTCACACACAGTTTCTAGGGCCTCGGCCAGTCGGGTTTCCCTAGGCGGGCAGAAGGGGAGGGGGGGTGTTGAGAAGTTGCGGGGGGGGGGGGAAATTGGAGTTGTCACAAAGCGCTTTGAGTCTAAAATCCACATCGCAACTGGTTGGACTGGAGCCAGGATCGGGGCCCTGGGCTGGGTCCGGGGCTGGGTCCAGATCCACGTTGAGGGAGGGGCATCTCTCGAGCCAGCATTATTTTCCCCGAAGTAAATCACCCCAAACAAACCGGTTTTGTGCAAAGGGTGAAATTTAAACCCCAGAAACTGAACCAATTTGGATGGAAATCTCCAAGGTTTGGTTAAAAAATAAATAATAAGATTTGCTTTTGGATGTTGGCAAATAAATAAATAAATTAACGGACTAACTAACTAAATAAAAATAACATTCTGGGATTTGGGTCAAAAGAAAATTGGGTTTCTGGGACTCCCGACATGCCGAGGGCCCAGTTCTACTGAGCGCTCGGGGGCCGGGGTGTGTGTGCGTGGGGGGGTGTGTGCGTGGGGGTGTGGGTGCGTGGGGGTGTGTGGGGGGGGGTTGTAAATTCAGTCTGGGCTCTAGGACACAGGTTATGGTTCCAGGCTGTGCAGATTTTTGAGACATCTCCCTGCTGGGGTCCCCCCCGTCCCCGCTCGTTAAATCACCTCAGGTACGTTTACAGGACGGACAAAGAGGTGCCATGTGCGGAGCAGGGGTTGGAGGCGAATGGCCAGTCGGGGTGCGCGGGCCTTTGGGAGCCGCGAATTGGTGAACGCTGCCTGTGGCGGCTGAGAGGGCAACATCACAGGGACCCAGGAGTCCTGGCTCCCAGCCCCCCTGCTCTGACCCACCAGCCCCCACTCCCCTCCCAGAGCCCGGG